GAGAGAGAGAGAGAGAGAGAGAGAGAGAGAGAGAGAGAGATCAGAGTAGAGACTTGGCAGCAGCAGAAAAAAGGTGACTATTGCAAACTGTGGCGTCAATTGGCAGACACTAACAGGGCGTTCCGCCTTATAGCCACCAATTTGAGAGTAGTAGACTTTCTCAGATGTCTGAAGGAAGCTCATGCTCAAAAGTGAGTGCCGACTACTACGTCAACTCTGTGAACCAGCCTGATTTTGATGAATTAGCATTCACTACCATATCTCCATATTGGCAAAAGTTTTCGCTCAAAATATGAGCGTTTTTAACTAATTGAAAGTATTAATCAAAAATAAAAAGATAAAAGTTTAAGAGTGCTACAACAAATTTACGTCTTTTTTGTAAAAAACAACACTAAGATTGAACTTTAAAACGGCGCAACAATAACAAAAACGTTTGGGTGCATCTTCCGGCGTGTTGGCGTGAAAAAGCGGTCACAGTAAGAGTATCAATTGAACCTAATGCAAAGCAAACAACTGGACAAGTAAACAGTGTGGGTGCACTTCCATCAAAAACAGAGGTTACAAGTGGATTAGGTGAAGGCTGGTGCAGAAGAAGGGAAACATGATTCCTAAAGTGAAAATGAATATTGACAGTGCATCATAAAAACAACATTTTTGCCTTTTAAAAAATAAGGCAAAGAATCCTTGAGTTAACTTCAAAGTCAAAGGCCACAGTGCTTCAAGAAAAATACAGCAAGTGCGGTCGACTTTACAGCAGTTCAAACGGTACAGCCTTGAATTGATTTGTCCACTGAAAGAATGGGTAGAAAGGTAATAAGAACATAAAGCCGTTAAAAAAGTACCAAAAGGAAAATGGTCAAGGAAATGCCATAAAAATAAAAAAGATAGCACAAAGCTATCAAAGTGATGGCAGACCAAAACCAAAATTGGTTAATAAAATCGGGTAAAATGTCCCAACTACAACTTCACTAAAAAAAGTTTTAATTGGCGTTATTATCAAATGGACAACCACAGCAACAGCAACAAGCGTAATGTGATTGTGCAAGTGATCGACTTTAAAGTTTGTTCAAGCTTGTAAAATTAACCTAATAAAAGAAAACGATCACTAATTGAAGAAAAAAGTAGTGCATGTCCAACTTTTTTTATCCTTGAGCCATGACGTAAATAAATGAAAAACGGAAACAAAATCCCTCGAGTTGGAAAGCTGCGGAGCGATTGATTCTTGTGAATTAATCCCTTGCATACCGAGGCATTCACCAAGTTGCACCAGTCTCGGCGTAATCAAAATGGTGGGTGCCAATAGGTAACTTGAAGGCACTTGCAGACAAAGCAGTCAATCTAAATAATAAATGCCTGTACACGTAAAAAATTCTCTGCAAAAAACTGAAAATGTATAACCTGAGAAGAAGTTTCACCCTCTTTTTTCGTCTATTTAACACGACAGTGACTCAGAAACGTCAATCGATGAATTATTAAATTGTGTTCAATTTTTCTGAAAGTCCTCTTACTATGGCAAATTACCTTCGTCTTACGTCTTGTCTTGTCTGGCGCCAAGATCATCCTGACAATGAAACCTGCTGTTTTCGTAAATTAAATATAGAAAAACTTGAAAGTTGTTGGGATGAAGTAGGTAGGAGAGATTACGGGTACAACGGCAACTTGGCAGGGGGCAACAGCAAATGGTAAGTGCAGAAGTTAAATTTAACAAGCCAAGCAAATTGAATGAGCTCCCAAATCGCTTGTGCTATGTAAATTCGTCCAAGATAATAGCTGAACATGGTGTCTGAGAGAAGGTAGTTCTGTACTGATCAACATGAAAACAGAAACTGTTTACAGTGAATCTATCGTCTTGATTGTGACGGAAATGAAAGTAAAATGTATCTCGCGCTTACACAGCTTTTTTCTTATAGCAATTGATTTTCCGATTGGATAAAGTGTTTGCTGTTTGTACTAAGTTACACAATACACTGAATTCATGAATTCAATTACCAATAGATTTGCAAAGCAAAGGAAACCCATTGAATGGCTAAACTACAACCGCTGAAAGCTGCGTTTTCACGGGCGAGTCCATGAACTAGCCTAGAATTAGCATAAAACTGCTCTCTGAGAGAGCATCATCATCATCATCATCATTCCCAGAATGACGTGAAGAATCACGGCCAAGGGCAAATAAAGCAAGTGTTGATTCAGTTTGGATCAGGAAAACACTGAAATTACGTNTCCCAGAATGACGTAAAGAATCACGGCCAAGGGCAAATAAAGCAAGTGTTGATTCAGTTTGGATCAGGAAAACACTGAAATTACGTCATTTGTGCCGAGCGTGTTGACAGTTGGCGCGGCGGCAAAAAAAGTCTGTGTTTTACCGTGTTGCGCTGACTTTTCTGTTGCCTTGACAACTTGTTTTGTTTTTATTTGCCTTCACCTGACCATCATTACCTGACCGATGACCAGATGTAGCGGTGCTCTGAACCCTTACCATTCATTGATCAACAATGACGTCAGCCTCTCCCACATCGATATTCTCCGGCTCTTCTCCGCTGGGCACTGCAACAAGCACCTTCGCTAATGTTATTGATGATGGAACGGTCATCTTTGCCCAGGAGATGACCATTTATCAGAAGAACGGCACGCAGTTCAACTTATCATCACAGTAAAATTAAAGCGTTGTATTCTATTGCATTACGGAATAATCTAACAACAAAATGCTCTGTTTTTCAACAGAAACTTGATGGTCGAAGTGACTAAGCGCTACAATGAACAGCATCGTGAAGTTGTTGTCATTCAAATCTCAAAGGAAAATGATCTCTTTTTCAATTTCACCTATCAGGTGGATTCAAGGGAGTTTGACAAGTACGTACTAACAAGAAGGAAATTAATTGTGTTAACCGGATCACTACCTTTTTCAGGCTCCAACAAGGACAACAGTTGTCCATATCGTTCAAGCTGTTTCCCGAGATGCTGAAATCGTTACTGGATAAGTGTGCAGCAGCTTGTTATTCCAGCAGCTTGCTTTCAAATGATAAATCCAGGTAACTTTTTTTATTAGTTAGCACTTGTTTGAAATTGACCACCTTTTTCTGCATTTTGTTGTAGTCACATTTTATGTTTGGAATACCACTCACGAAACAGCTTGCGACTGGAGATAGTTGAGCGCGACAAGTACCAAAACATCAGACGACTTGCTTTTGACATTCCAGCCGCCTGTGAAGAGGACATTCGCACTAAATATCGAGAGATTTACCAGAGGTTTCGTCGAGAAAATGAAAGACTCCATGAGAGAGTGGCAACACTTGAAAGCGATAATCACCTTCTAAAACAAACCAACTCTGAGCTGGTTAAAAACTACAACCAGGACCTCTCTAGTCATGAAAAAAGTGCCAGAACAAGAGTACATGATCTGGAACAAAAGTACCAGGAAGAACGAGACAAATGGCAAGAAAATGAGCGGATTTTAAAAGCAAAATTTTCAAAGCTTACTCTAGAATTGCAAAGCAAGGAAGACGCGCTAAAGTGTGAACGACAAAAATCCGGTAGTAATCATGAGGAGTTAAAGGAGAAGTACTCTCATGAACTGGCCAAAAAGAATGCACGGATTAAAGAATTGGAGGAGCAAAACAAGCAGCAAACTGTTGAGCTTGAGTACCTAAAAGGATTGCGAGAAAAGACAAGTCTTGCCTCGAAGAAGAATGAACTTGAGCTGGATGATACTAAGAAAGATCTGTCAAAAGCAAATGAAATCATTCGTAAACTTCAAGAGGAGGTCAAATCAGGTCGTGAAAAGCTCGAAATACTTAACCAGGTAATGTTTATGATTATTATCTGTGTGCTTCAGACACTCGTAAAAATCAGACAGAGTGCTTATCAATTATTCAGCAACCTAACTCTATTCTTAACTTTTTGTTATAAAGGTTACGCACAAGCAAGAAGCTAACTTGTCCATGAAAGAGTCCACTCTTGATAAGGTGTCTTGCGAACTGAAGGTGTGCTTGCAGCAATTAACGAAAAAGAAAAACGAAATGGAACGTCTCGAGGCAGAACTGGAGCGTTTCCGATCTAAATGTTCCCAGTCGGAGCTGCAGATAAGGGCAAACAAAGCAGTAATTGGCAAACTGAATGAACAGTTGATGCTTCAGGCAGAGGCAATGGAAACGGTTAAAAGACGACTGGTGGACGAGGCCAAAACACACAAAACACTTCAATCACAGTCGACAGAACACATAACTTCAAGCAACCACCTGACTGACAGAATCCAAAATGGTCTTCACTTGGCCGATTTGCGAGGAGGAGGAGTAATTAAGGGTCTTAAAAAGTCAACTGCTGGTGGCAAAAATGTTGACTTTGTGCTTGACGATGAGCATTTTGGGGAGAATAGTAAAGCAAGACCACAAAAAGAAGATGCTGATTTAGCTGCTCAGCAGGATAATATTTTGAAAAATCACCTCTTTGCGAATACCAAAGAGAGACCACTGTTTAGGGAAGTTAACTTGCGGTTAAGTCATAAAACCAAAGGCGGCTCTAGTAACAGCAATAACGTAATGCCAACTTCAAACAGAAGAACACACATGTTCTAGAGAAGTTATGTTTATGAATTTATACAAAAATAAAAATCTTGTTTGATGAGTACTAAGAGCTTCAAGCGTCTGGCATGTCTCCACCAGGAACCATCTGAAAATGAAAAGTTGTCATTAAAGGCGGAAACGTTCCAATATTTTTAAGAGCAAACCATGGCAATGTTGACTCCGTTTAGAAGAATTTGATCCAGCTTTGTGATGCGCCGTCCTTCAGCTGTGTTTTCACTATGAAAAGATATTGGTTAGACATTGAGCTTAGAGTTTTATTTCAACAACTGCACTCACTATTCAGTGACATCCTCGAGGACCATGTCTACACACAAAGAAACAAGTTTTCGTTAGAACCTATGCTTATCTGATATTTGTCACACAAAAGTACTTACTGACAAAGTCGTCAAATCCAAGCAGCGTTCCTACCAGCTCCTTATCCGTCTTCATGATAATGTGGATTTTGGAGCCAATGCATTTGTCGATCAATTCTGCAACAAAAAGTGAATAAGTGATCAGCCGTCGGGGGAAATAAACAAACAAACAAACCAAGAGGAAGAATCGTCGACGGATTGGAGACCGGCGTTGCTGTAGCCATTTTCTTGGTACGTGATAATTCTGTCAAATGTTTTGCTTGAATCACACGTGCTGTTTTGATAAAATTAGTGTTTGAAAAAAATCGCTTCAGATTTTTTTTACAAAAAAAGTGACAAAGAGAACCGGCATAAACGACGTTACAGCACCGTAGAAGTGACAGCAACTTGGCCATTCTCAAAACAATCCATTTGAATGAAGTAAATATCAACTTGCAGACTCGCCCATCTGCACCACTACACCCCCGAAAATGTCTCTTCTTGACGTAAGCGATCTCTACGATGGTCTGAAGATGTTGTTACTAATTTGTATTTACCATTGCAGGAGGTTCATCGTGAGATCAAGTTGTTCATGAAGAGATTTGACAATTTGATTGCTGTCCTCGTTTGCGACACAGAAGGTGCTACCATTGCAAAAGGTGTGCTTTTGAATCTATTGTCTTCGAACTAATTTTCTAATAAAAGAGTTGCTTTGTAGTAATTAACGAGCAGAAGGGTGAATCGCTCTTGCAGTGCAACTTTCTCCTTCAAAACCTCATCAGTTGCAGCGAAAATGTGGCCAAACTTGAGCTGGGGGAGTGCAAGAAGATTGCCTGCCAGTACGACGAGTTTCAGATGGTCACCTTCTACAAGGATAAGCTCGTCGTGACGCTCATCGCCAACAACCAAATTGAAACTGGAACACTAATGTCCCTCGAAGGCGAATTCAAAGCCATTTGCGATGCAGTCCTCTCAGAGATTAAAAACATAATCTAGATCATTTTTACCCAAGTTTCCTTCAACCTTCTTTTTCTTCTTCCTGTGATACGAGGAATCAATTAAACTAACTATTCAAGCGTAAGCACACAACTTAGTCATTTTATTTAAGTAATGAAAATCGAAGAAGTTCATTGTTTTGTGTGTGTATATAATCATATAGGAAACAGTAAAAGTTGAAAGTGATTGAATCAAAGCAAAGCGCGCCGTACTGATCTCTCGCTCTCTATTCTGACTTGGGATCAGTGTAGAGCTTTTCATTTTTATAAATCTTCTTCAAAATACAATAAGAACGAATGAGGCGAAATACTGCAAGCGAATTGGTTAAGATCATCAGCGACATGGAGATCAGCTTGTACCACTCGTAGCTTCGACAGAGCAGCACAAACTGGAAGAATATGACGATGAAGACGGTGGTGAGAAGGGTGATGAAACCACAGGAAGGGTCGGAGAAGACAATCTGTGTGGGGGAAGGACAGATGTTAGTGAGCATTTGAGTAGAGCAACACATTACTCAGTTACTTACGTAGAACCTGTAGTGCGACTGGTTGCCCGGCTCGGAGCAGGTCATGTTCGCCTCTGATTTGTAGTATTCTTTAGAGTGGCGCACCACGATTCCAGGGCCGTAAATGGAGGTGTCAGCCCACTGGAAGGAGGGGACTAGAGTGTTGCGCGTCTCCAGCTTCTGCCACTTGCCCAGATGCAGGGATGACTGATGGAGAATGTCGTAAAACTGCGGTGAGTAGAGGTGGGAGGTGAGCATGAAGAAGGTGCACATCCAGGTGACGGCGATGTGCTGCGTCGTCCAGAATGTGTCGTACTCGTGATTGAGAGGCACCAGCGCCATCGGAACGAAGGAGCCGTAGTAGGCGACAAAGATGGAGCGAAAGATGATAAACTTCAGTCGGTCATTGAAGATGTTCTTCAGCTTCTCCACCTCGTCGCGGATGTAGAAGGGCGACGCATTGGTGCAGATGTGATTCACCGGGGGAAAGCACGCTGATATGCTGGTGGGCATGAGGAAGAAGTTGGCCAGTCGACAGCAGATCTCGTACTTGGTGGTGTTCGCATCGCGCACCCAAAAGTAGGTCCGAATGAGGCTGGTGTAGTAGAGGGCAGAGTACACCAGCAGCGGGTAGAGAAAGGTGAGCAGGCCGTAGAAGCTGAAGGCATCAAAGATCATTACAAGCAGGTAGATCTGCGAGTACATGTACACCACGCAAATGATGCCGGTGGAAATGTAAATGTAGAGATTTTGCACTCTCAGCGGAAGGTATTTGTGGACCTGCATAAATGACAACAAATCTGTTAGTAAACAAATCTCTCTTTTTCTCCCCACAACAAGTCGTTTACTTGCCTTGTAGAAGAGGTGAATGAGAAATGACTTGGTGATCATCGCAACGCACAGAAAGACAACGTTATGGTTGATCAGGTGGAAGTTCTGTCAGACGAAAAATGTTATTGTTAGCCTTGAACCCTAAAGAAGCCTTCCCCTTCCTTGTACGAACCATCGCATAACGCCGGTAAGTGTCACTCTGCCACCAGTAGGTGCGAAACAAGTTAAGGTACTGCGTGCACATGGCAATGATGAAGATGACAAATGTCTGCATCTCATACAGGAGCTCATTCTCATCTGACATTATCGGAATACTCTTGTGAATTGGAGAGACAAATTGATTCGCCTCGTTCTTGAATATGGTTGTGTACTGAAGTGTGTTGTAGCTGTTTGGCGGTAAAATCAGTGTGTTAACACAAAAAAGGAAATAACCTTTCAAAATGCATACCGATCATTTGAGGTATTTCGTGCCTTCGGCGTAAGCAGATAGAGCTTGTTACTCTTGCCCATTTTTTGCTGATCGGCACACGGGAAACTCGGTCAGATTGATAAAGTTTTCGGAAAGCAGCCAGCGAATGATACCACTTGCTACCCCAGAAAGTTGTCGCCAATATTCATGTGAATCCCTAATTAGGCTTGCTCACAAATTAGGCCACTTGACTACTAAACAAATGAGCTCCCTGGCAACAGTTTCCGATGGAAGAGATGTCAATGTGATTCTGTGATTCAAGCGAGGAGAGAAGACGAGAGAGGAGAGCACGACGACGCGATTGCGCGTGGAGAGCGAGGAGGTTCCAAAGTTGACTATTCCAAGCACAACTGGTGATGCAGTGCCGCAGAAGAAGAGTAAAAGGAGGAGGAAAGAGGGTGATTGGAAAAAATTCAGAATCTTGTTGAGAGAGCAGAACGAAAACAAGTGTGTTGATGAGAAGAGAGGCAGAACACGGCAGCAGCAGCAGTAGCACAGTGAACCGATGACGAGAGCTTCACAAGGGAGATTCTGAACACAGCTGACAAGGGCAGGCGGTTATTTAAGGGTGATCACTGACCAGAAGACGCCCAATCTTGACTGACCAGAACAAAACAATCTTTCGTTCTGATGAATCGCTCCGATGGGAAAAAGCGCAAAGGTGGCTAATCTGGGCGGCAGGTTGCACGCTGTAAACGTTAAGGTGACGCCGAGTGGCCGACTGACAGTGGGCAGCAGTCTCCTGTGGTGGTTTGTGCCGCCCAAAATCAACCATTTTGTAGAGCCATTTTCTCGGGCCCTGGTTCATTTGCCCGAGATAAAAACCTTATCAGAGCATCCGACTTGAGCTGGACTACCAACTGAGACCAACAGTAGGGTGATCTACATTTATTAGTGTAGGACGTTCCCATGCTGGAGCAGTACTCTGGTGTGATGTAAACAAAGCAACGACGGCTGCAAGGCTGCTTCTGAAATCGAAGCAAAATGAAAGCAGTCCTTGTGCCGGAGGCTTTACTACCTCTACTAGATCATCGTTGTTGTAGATAGAACTATGAGCATCAACGATCATCAAACGGATCATCTTTATGTCGCCCTTCAGTGATCTCCACCCTTGAAAAAGTCATCACCAATTCTCATCTGTTTTCATTTAGTAGGTTAATTGCTCAAACAAAACAACTTCAACATCACCGGGTTGTCTTTCACCTATGGTATTGCCTAGTCTTCTGCAACTCTGTGTAGTCAAATCAGGCGAGTGCCAATCAGGCACGCATGCATACAAGTGTGCATGATCTGCCAGCCAGCCAGGTGCGCTATCAAGTTGATCAGAAATGCAATTTAAAACATTTTTTCCACGTAACGTAGGTGCTCTTTTAAAAGTCGAGTCTTTGATTTGGTATTTTTAGAGTGATGTTCTCTCTCTCACACACACACATTCCCAGTGATGATAACTCTTTGCATCTACAGGCAACACATTTGTGTTAGTGCGCTATGCAAATGTCACCCTGGTCTGAATCTATTTCTGTGACCTCGACTCTCTCACTCCCGCTCAGCATCAACTAGACGGACAATTTTTCAGGCAGTCTGCTCATACTTTTGGTGGACCCTGAGATTGACGCACACACTTTGTGTGCCTATTTACAGTGTTTTATTTCTAGTAGTCCAAATTCCGCTTCGTCATTTGCCCTGATCGAATCTGAAGGCAAATAAAGCTTTGAGCAGCCCACAATTTAGGAAAGTCCAAGCTATTCAAGGCAGTCCAACAGTCGAAACCAGCTGCAAAGTCCTTTTGGGGAAAGTATGCAAATGTACTCTCACCACCACCACCACCACCACAGTCGCCGACAATAGCTATCAAATGTGCTGATGCACTGAGTTTAGTGAGCCACTGTGGCACTTTTATGTGAAAGAGGAGTGCGATAAAAATCTGTCAGCGACTCATAAATTGGCGGCCGGAGACATTCTCGCTCACAACACACATCAGTGCCAGTGCCGTTGACATTGACTCGGCAGAAACAACAGAAAATCTCTCAATCACCACCGATGATGATGCTGATGATGTTATCATAACGGTTCTCTCTTTTCTCTTTTGTAATCTCTAGGTACTTTTGTCTCAGTGGCCAAAGGCAACAGCAGCCGTCGTAGTTGTTGATCTCAGTACATCATCACCACCGCAATCACCATCACCAGACACTACCATAAATGAAGTTGTCTCTGTAAACTACTAGCACTCTGTCGAGTACTGCCATCCTCACTCACAGCAGCAGCACTTCATTTTCGCCTTCATTTTCGGTTACGTAACTGGTGCTGCATCCTTCTTTTCTTCCTTTCATCCATCAACTGCGTCGCTGCACCAACGCCTCGTACCAGGCGACTTTGTATTCTTCAATCCGCCGTGATCAGAGAGTGATCAACTCTACCAGTGATCAACTGTGGCGAAAGCCAGCTCTACACCAGCAGCACCTTCTCAAGTGTCCTTAATTGACCACAATTGTGAACTCAGCTTTGGTCAGCTCATTTTGCTCATCTCGTAGTCGATGGTCAAATCGATTGACTGGAAGATAGTTTCTGATCACTCTTTCCTTATCACTCATCGATCAAATCCGCTACCCTGGCGCAAGCGTTAAGCTTTTGGCCAACAAGCACGCTCAACCACCATCACTTTCTCCCCCAGTACTTATCAAGTTAGCTCGAATTACACGTCCAGTATTATAACAAACGCCAAAACACGCAGCACTTGTCAATGAGAATACTGTGATAATCGTAACTAAACTGCAGCGACAGCTGAAGGAAGCGAACAAATCAGAACAAATCTCGATTTTGCCGAAATCAGAGACAGCAGCTCCTACTTAAGCTGTCCTCAATTGATCAGCTCGAAGAATCTCCTGCCCCACTCTTCCTTGGAACTTGCTGGTCAGCAGCCGTTCCATCGGCACTTTCAATAGCATTGCCGAGCAGTTTATCATCTCTGCTCCCCTTCTCACTTATCGTCCATCATTGCCGCATCATCACATGTAATCACGCTTTTTGGTTATTTAGCGCTCTGCTCCCGCCAACCAAATTGCCAGTAATCGGCTGGGCGCATCTCCGCTAAGCAGCAGCAGCTAACGAGGGTAATCTTCCACTACCGCCACCAGCGCACTACGACTACCACAAAGGAACGAAACCTCGGCCAACGATCAACGATCTATCACTTGAGAGTGCTACGACCTCTTCCACTTTATTCTTCTCTTTTAGTTTCATCTTTGCTCAGCTTCCTTATCAGCATTACTACCACTCCTGCAGTCCTAAATGGCTTACGGGGACGAGGAAAACTCCGAGTCGACCTGTGTGGACCTGAACGAGGGTGACCAGCAGTATTTGACCGGTAGCAATAACAACAACCGCTATGCCAAAGACCGCAACTCATCTTCCTCCTCCTCAGTGGAGGAAATTCGAGAGCTCGAGTCGGCGAAGCCGCCGATGGAAATTCGCTCCTACGGCATTCGCTATTTTCTGCTGCTTCTCTTCATCTCCCTCTCCATGACGAATGCCTTCCAGTGGATCGAGTACGCCATCATTGAGTCCTATGTGACGCAGTTCTGGAACGTCGAGTAAGTGAAGACACACGGACACGGGGTAATAATATTCAGCGGTTGAGCTAACCAACCCCCTTTTCCCCTTTTCCCCTGTAGCACCTTTTGGGTGAACTGTACGAGCACGGTGTACATGGCCTCGTACATCCTAGGCATCGTGCCCGCCACCTGGCTGCTCGACAAGTTCGGCCTCCGGCCCTGTCTGATTGTGGCCAGTCTGGGCAACGCCGTCGGCTCCTGGGTGAAGTGCCTCTCCGTCAATCCGCACTACTTCTGGGTGAGCATGGTCGGGCAGACGATTGTCGCCACCTCGCAGCTCTTCATCCTCAACATCCCGCCGCTGCTGGCCGCCACCTGGTTTCCCGCGGAGGACGTCACCAAGGCGACCGCCTACGGCGTCTTTGGCAACCAGGTGGGCATCGCCCTGGGCTTTCTCATTCCGCCGATGCTCATGCCGCACGAGGCGGCGCCGGCTGCATCGAACACCAGCACTACCACCATTGCCAGTGTTCTACTGAACCAGACCTCAGCGGCCGTCGACAGCACCAGCACCTTCGACATTGAGGGCACCGGACGAGGCCTTCGCTTTCTCTTCTACGGCGTCTCCATCATCACCAGCGTCATCTTCCTGTTGATCATCGCCTTCTTCGAGAGCAAGCCCCAGTTGCCGCCCAGTGAGGCGCAGTTCTACGCGCAGACGCTCAACCACGAGCAGTCCTTCAGCAGCTCCATCATCTCCCTCTTCACCAATGCCAACTTCCTGCTGCTCTTCCTCAGCTACGGCCTCAACACGGGCGTCTTCTACGCCATCTCCACCGTGCTCAGTCAGATGATCAGCAATGCCATTGGCGGCGGCTTCGTCCAGGAGGGCGGCATGATGGGCCTGACCATCACACTGGCCGGCATCGTCGGCTCCATCGTCTGCGGCTACATTCTCAGCTGTACGAAGCAGTTCAAAGGCGTCACCCTCTTCGTGTACGTCTTTTCGCTGGTCGGAACCATCGCCTTCACCACCGGCCTGATCATCAAGTCCATCTGGCTGCTCTTCATCGTTTCCGGACTGCTTGGCTTTTTCATGACCGGCTACCTGCCCATTGGCTTTGAGTTNCTCGCTGGTCGGCACCATCGCCTTCACCACCGGCCTGATCATCAAGTCCATCTGGCTGCTTTTCATCGTTTCCGGACTGCTTGGCTTCTTCATGACCGGCTACCTGCCCATTGGCTTTGAGTTTGCCGCCGAAGTCAGCTACCCGCAGCCTGAAGGAACGTCAGCCGGGCTGTTGAATGCCGCCGCTCAGGTAAGTGTTTCACTGTTTACTGAATTACAACTTGATTACAAGCTAATTCATTGCAGATTTTTGGCATAATCTTCACATTTTCCTCTTCGGCGATCATCGAAAACTACGGACACCTTCAGGCGAACCTCTGCTTCATTGGGGCGCTCATTGTTGGCGTCATTCTAACGGTGCTCGTGAAGAGTGACCTCAGACGACAGAACGCCCACCTCTCGAATGTTTCGTCTGATCAGGCGGCAGAAGTTCCAGCCAATCTTCGACGGAACAGTGTCACCGTCTTCACATAAAGACAACTTGTGATATATTCAAAACGAAAGATCATCACCCTTTTCGATATGAACTCCTCCTAACTCACACCCTTGCATAGTGNGAACAGTGTCACCGTCTTCACATAAAGACAACTTGTGATATATTCAAAACGAAAGATCATCACCCTTTTCGATATAAACTCCTCCTAACTCACACCCTTGCATAGTAACTTATTTTTCTCATTGTTTGTTTTTACATTGACCATATTTTATAAGCCATTTTATCTCCTTCTACTGATGAATAAAGAAATTTTAATGCAACTTTTCAGACAAATGGAGTACAAAGGAGTAGTTTTATCCCGATACAGTGAGCTAGTGATTTGTGTAGTATATTTCTTTGAAAGCTAAAGCTTTAGTCATTGATGATGAGCTCCTCGATTCCCCAATCTTCGTAACTGCCATCGGGCAAGAATCGGCGAATTGTCAGTGGAATTTTTCGTTCTCTGAAAAAAGATAAAAAGGTTACACAATCTGCTTCTACTAGTGAAGCAATGGTGACTTACTTTAGTTCTTTCAGGGCAATCTGCAGTGGATCAGTTTCACCCTCCAACTCGACCATAATTGGAGCACACATGGCAATCTGCAAGGCTCGAGTTCCAAGCACCCGAGCCCGCTCGTATTTAGTCATGTACGGAGTTGTGATTTTGGCGGTTGATTGTCGATGTTGTACTTCACCGGACGGCAAAAACTCCACATTTTCGTCTCCACCGGCATTATCATCTCCCACGTCGTCGTCCACGGCGTCATCAAAATCGCCACCCATGTCATCCATTTCATATTCGTCGTCAGACATCTTTGCGGTTGTTCTTGAGATGAAACAAAGATGAAACAATCGGTAAAAGATAAACGTTGATCAACGTTTCAGGAGACAAACAACTGACTGACTGAAATCACAAAAGCCAAAACAAAAAATGCACACGCTGATCCCCTCCAAAGAGTACGTAACTAGGATGATTTTGGATTAAATCCCAACGGATACTTTGGCCTTCTAGAACTTTCTAATCATAAGTTTAAATACTTTTGATTTGATAGTTTATTAATTTGCTAACTTTTAAACATATTTACAGTTTTGACTAATAAATCAATCGAGCTATTTAGTGGCGGTGCCCAAAGTGGGAAGAGCTGATAATCACTGGAACTTTTTAGCTTCTTGCAGCTCCTTCATTCGTCTAACCACTGTTTGGCCAAGTTCCTGGTCGGTTAGATACTTTTTCTTTTGTGCTGTCGACGGAGGTCCATAGCCACGTCCGTCAGTGTAACTCCAATCGTGCATTTGGTCGAGCCGATTTCGGAACCGTTTATGCTTTTCTCGCCACTCCCGCGAAGTAACGGAACGAGATGACGTTAGCACTGTCGCAGCTGGAGATAGCATCTTCACCGTCATTTTTGAGCTAGACAAAGTGACCAGAATCGCTGCACGCTGTACGGCTGACATTTCGTAGTTGTTTGAAAAGATTTTCAAATTGGAAATGATCTTGGTGGTCAAGTAAAGTGGTCCTGTAAAGTATTAAAAAAGAAAATTTGTAAGATGATCTTTAAATTATTCATCATCAACTTGATAAAATCATACCTGAACGCGATTCAAAATCAACAAAATCGGCAAGTAAACAGAACTTGATTCCAAACAAAAATACAAAACACAAAATCACATGTGATGATCCTTTCCAAAAAACTTTTCTTGACAGACAAATACGCGCGAGAAAGTTTCTTAATATTTGAATTTTGATTCGCTCTAAAATGACTCATTCAAAGTGGCCAACCTGCTAATCTTTCGTTGTTGTCCCTTTCTAAAAATCACGTGGTGACGGACAAAAACAAGCAACCGTCAACTTGATTGACGAATTTTATTTTTTAATTTTGCTGACCTTTTCGGCGTGAGTTTCGTCATCTTGCTTCAAATCTCGCTCATCCGAAGAACCTGAAGATCGTCTCAAGATGGAGAAACCACAAAACGAAGCAGGAATGATGCAAGTTGTCAACGGGCCTTGCAATCAGTTTGGCAACTATGTCATAACTGACTTGAAGCAGTTTTGCGCCGACAACAATCTGGTCATCCTCACTACGACTAATCCGAACATCCGATACCGCAACATCAAACCGTATCCGTCCAGCAAAGTTGTGGCCCGAGTTGTTCCGCCAAAAAAGGTGATCGCAAAAAGCAACCGCAGCAAAATGATTACTAGTGTGCCTTCTTCGTCTAAAGTGATCCCTTCAAATCCCAAAGTTCCAAAAGTTCCTGCTCCGTCGACTTCAGATGATACTAAAATGACCCTGAAAGACGCATCTTCAGATTCCAAACGAAAGCGAGTCTTCTCAAAAGAACTCCGCTGCATGCTGTACGGTTTTGGGGACCACCAGGACTCCTACACTGAAACGATTGATTTGGTTGAAGACCTTGTTATGAAGTTCCTGACTGACGTCACAATGCGCGCCTACAACTTTGGCGCCAATGACCGCGTCTCCGTTCAAGATCTAATGTTCGTTTTGCGCAAGGATGCTAAAAAGTTTTCTCGTCTGAAAGAGCTCATGGAGATGAACCACGAGCTTCGTGAGGCTCGCAAGGCTTTTGATGAGGTCAATTTCGCTGAGCTGCCTGAATAGCTGCTATTTACTAGGTGATTTACGCCTCCTTCAAGAGTACCTTTTTCCGATTTATTTTTCTGTTTGTCCACACACACATCAGTTACAGTTTGCAGGTAGCCTTGTTTCGCAATAGTTAGGACTGGAATAAAAAATTTGTTTATAATGTTAATTGCACATTTACGAAACTTTTTTTAACACGAGATGCTTCAGAGTGTTTTGTGGTTGCTTTGTGACGCTTGGAAGAGTAAAAGCATATGAATTTGTAGAAAGCGTTGACCTCGAATGAACAAATGTACAAATGAACCGGACGAGCAAGTTAAAACAGTGAATAGAAGATATGAAGGGGAACAGTCGTAGTAATAAAAAAGGGGGCAATGGTAGGATAGGATAAAGAATGATTTGCAATTGGCAATCAGTTGTTGTTGTTGACACGCAGAAATATCAAAGCCTGTGTACGAATAAAAACAAGATTGAAGAGGAAGGATGAACCTTTTTGGAGCAATAAAAGTTGAGTTAATCGGCGATTATTTCCCGCATAGGTGAAGCGAAGTGAAAGTGAAAGTGAGCGATTGAATGAATGAATGGTGGTGGTAAGTTCGGTGGAATGCCATCAGCCTTCATCATCAGAAGCAGCCTTTAGAATCCCGAGACGACTCCGTAGGCCTCCAGCGTGGACATGAGCAGGTAGAAGACCCACAGGCCGACGAAGCAGAGGACGGTGCTGACCTTTGCCAGTCGGGAGCCGCCCAGCTCGCCGCCAATGTAGTACCGGCGGAAGATGAGCACCGCCGAGCAGACAAAGGCGCAGATGCAGAAGAGCGTCACCGAGTAAGAGAGGTTGCCTGGGTCGACGTGGAAGCCACCTGGAGTGCCCTTAAAGGCGTGGTAGATGGCGGCCACCGTCCAGGCGAGGCCAATGCCCAGAAAGACGTTCACGGCGTTGCTGCCGGTGACGTTGCCAATGGAGGCGTCCGCCCGCTCTTCATTCTCCGCGGCGATCTTGCTGGCAAAGGTGTCCGGCACTGAGGTGCCCAGGGCGACCAACGAGATGGCCGTCACCGAGTCCTTCAGGTGCACTGTGGAGCCAAAGTGCGAGGCGAGGTCGTTGATGAAGGAGGTGAGAATGCCAATGACGATGATGGAGACGATGAAGCAGGCCCAGCCGTTCCAGATGGTCGGCGGCGGGACAAAGGCAAAGAGCAGTTTCCAGAAGAGCATCAGGTAGTGACAGCAGTAGTCAAAGGCGGACTTGGGCTCAGCCTCGGCCTCCTTCTCGCCGCCATCGCCGCCGCCGGCGCCACTGCCGCTGCCGGGGCTGGCCCGTTCCGGCGACCGTCGACTGGGCGACTCGCCCTGGTCGTAGCTGAGCGAGGAGGCACTGCTCAGGTGGGGCACACGCATCACCCCGGTCAGCTGGTTCTCCCAACTGCTGGCCCGGGTGCCCGCCTTCCACTTCCGACGGCGCATCAGCGCGTCCACAACCTTTTGAGAAAAAACAGTTTAAGTTATACAATTTCGAAATCAGCTACTCTCTCCTTCGTACCAGTTTAAACTCCTTCGACTCGCGAATGCGAATCATGCACTTGGTGAGGTCGCCCAGGCGGGGCGCTCCGCGCACGTCGGTCACCTTTTCGTCAGTTCGCCGTGGCTCGCCCAGCTCCACGTAGAAGATGGAGTTCATCTCGTACTGGGTGTTGTTGATAATCTCCAGAGTGATCTCCTTCTGCGTCTCATTGTTGTGAAAGTGCACCTCGCCCTCCGCCTCGACGTAGTCCATGCCCGGTCGGGCGGTGGCGGCGATGGTGCGGTAAGGCACCGAGACAGAGCCTCGGGCGCCGCAATACCGGTTCACCACCAGCCGGTACACGCCGATCGTCTCCGGAATTTGGAAAACATTGTTGAGGAAGCCGAAGATGCCGCTGTGGTCGTCGTCGAGAATGTTCACCTTCGCCTTCGGTGTCACCACACGAATCTCCGGCCGTTGGCTGGTGTCCACGGCCGCTGCCTGGTAGTGCGCATTGGTGATCACCACAAAGAAGTGCTCATCGTCCTCAAACTCGTCGTCGTTGATGATGACAATCTCAATCTGCTTATGCGCCTCGCCCGGACCGAAGACTATCTGCCCGCTCTTGGCGACAAAGTCAGAGCCGGCCTTGGCGCTGGCGCTCTCCGTCTCGTAGTTCACGACAATGGTGGAGGCCAGGTCGCCCAGTCGAGTCAGCGTCAGGCTGACCTTGCCCACATTCTCCATTACAGTGTATTCCATTGGATCAAAAAGAATGTCCACCGTCACTAGGCGGTGGAGGTGGTCTTCGCGGGCGCTCTGGTCGTCCAGACTGGACAACCGAGCCTCCGACACCGGCACATTGTCCAGACTGCCCTGGACGTCGGTGTTGCTGCCGAAGTACCGTCTCGAGGCGATGATTCGATAGTAGGCGCGGCTTTTTGGCTCCAACTTTATAATCTCATTGCGAGCCAGCGTTTCAATCTCATCGGCAGTCGCATTCGGGTACTGCTGTTTGACGTACTTTAGAATCTCAATCACATTGTCCCGTTGGTCTTCGATGATTCTCAAATCCTCGTCACTGGCATCAATAAACTAAAACAAAATGTTAGATAAAGTAGATCTACAGAGTGAGCTCAACAAACCTTTAAATTTTTGTGCACCGGACCAGGCAGATCGACTGGCATCGCGTTGTCTACAGTTCCATTTTCAATAGCATTCTCTCCGTTGCCGATGGTAGTCAACTCGACCTTCTCCGCGTCATCACCCTCCTCCAGTTTGCTCGCCTTTCCATTTTTTGCCGGTGAGCTCTTATTGAGGTTGATGTGCTTCTTCATGTACTTGTAGAAGAGCAGCCGCCGATCGGCAATGTACGCCAGGCCGACGGTGAGGAAGAAGAAGCCCAGCGTGACCAGACCCTCCCAAACCTCAATCACCCCCGGGCTGATCCACACGAGAATGGCCAACATCCACACGTAGGCGAAAATGGAGAAACTGAGCGTCACAATGAAAACACGCAAAAACTTGATCTTCTTCAGCTGGCCATCGGGCACTGCCCACACGCACACCGCAATGATGATGAACATGTTGAAGGCGGCAGAGCCGACGATGGTGCCCGGACCAAGGTCGCCCGCTTTGAACTCTTGAGCGTAGATCTCAATCACCGAAAGCATGATCTCCGGCGCGGAGGAGCCCAGCGCCATCAGCGTCAGATTGGAAACGGTCTCATTCCATATGCGCACCGAGATGATCTCCTTGCTGCCGTCCTTCTTCCGCACGACCACGTCCTGCTCCTGACTGGTAATCTGCTCGATGGACAGCATGAAGCGGTCGGCGATGATGGCCACGCCGACGAACATGTAGATCAGCGCCAGGAGGTAGACGATGCCGTGGAGGACGATGGTCAGCGCGGTGCCGTCCGACTGCCAGCACGGCAGAAACAGTCCCGGATTGCAGTTGAAGACGTACGGGGAGGAGAAGGCAAGTGAGTGGTTTGTCGATTGGGTGGGCACGGGCGCAATAATGCTGCTCTCCAGGTTCGAGTACAGAGAGGGGTTCGCCTGACCGAGCAGCAGCTCAGAGCCGGCCGATTCGGCCGCACGAAGGAGAACGCCGGCGATGGCGCTCGGCGTGACATTGCCGATGGCAGAGGATAGCGTTGTCGTGAAGGTGCTGCTGTTGATGGTGTTGCTGCTGCTGCTGCTGCTGAAGTTGCTCTCCAGCGACGACACTTCAGGTATACTCCTGATAGTGGTGGTGGTGCTGGAATTCATTTTTGATTATGGTCGTGGTGGGGAATGTGGTGATGAGCTTTGATGATGAAGTGAGTTAAGTTGGAAGTCGTCTGCTTCCAGGAAGAACACTTGCGGCCTCTACATTCCAGCTTCTTATAGTATTGTTATTCTGTTGTCTCATAAGTTGGATGATCTATAAAAGCTATCGTTCACTTATTATTCCGGCACCAAGGGTATGCTATGATGATAATAATAAAAGGTGATGATGATGATGATGATCTGTAATGATGATAAAAGTATGGAGCATGTGTTTAGAAGAGCGATTCACATTTACAGAAAAGACGCTTTTTGCCTGACCAACGCTCACATAGCCGCACACACTTGGAGACAGGCGGGTGGTAGCGGAGCAGCAATCTCAAAGTCAAAAGCTGCTGCAATCTCTGATCAGTATACGTAAGCAGTCTTATCAGTGCACACACATGTGTGTGTAGAGTGACCATGTCTATAAAATAAATGAGTGAATGGTACAGGCGATAATTGGGCTTTACACAGGCTGCCTAGTGTTGGTGTGTGTGTTGCTGCTAGAAAACCAGCATCAACCGAAGGGGTCAAACTAAACCAGTCATCAGGGCTCAGGTCGCCTGCCTGGTGCGATACGGTGACTGATAAGGGCATGGCATGGCACTGTCAACACTTCAGAAACACTACAAAAACAGAGCCAGATTTTGGAATGGATGGTGGAACCTGATACGGCCTGAACAGTGATAGAACTGTGAAGCCAGTCAAGTGAGCTGTACAAAGTGCAGCTGACGTGCCGAGATGACAGTGGAGATGACTGCGCGGAGTATCGTTGTGTCGCTGATGTTGCTCTTTAAAGTTTTGTTTGCATCACATTCGAGTTTAGGTCTTCTTTTTTCAGGTCTCAAAATCACCGCCATTTGGCGGCAGATAGAGTGAATGAGCGAGAAAGTGAGCGAAGGAAAGAAAATAAATAATAAATAAAAGAGCAGTGACAGTGACGGAGCANGTGATAGAACTGTGAAGCCAGTCAAGTGAGCTGTACAAAGTGCAGCTGACGTGCCGAGATGACAGTGGAGATGACTGCGCGGAGTATCGTTGTGTCGCTGATGTTGCTCTTTAAAGTTTTGTTTGCATCACATTCGAGTTTAGGTCTTCTTTTTTCAGGTCTCAAAATCACCGCCATTTGGCGGCAGATAGAGTGAATGAGCGAGAAAGTGAGCGAAGGAAAGAAAATAAATAATAAATAAAAGAGCAGTGACAGTGACGGAGCAAAGGCACACAAGTAGCTGTTGCTAAGAAAGAAAAGAGACAGAGACGCTGCACTAGCTGCACAGATTGATTGAACTGATACGGCTAGACAGAGACAGGGTAAGTAATAGTTGTCCTTGACAAACAGTGCACACATGCAAACTTCCAAATGGTACAACAGCAGCAGCTTGTGTGTACAGTGTACACCAGGGCAAAGTGAAGAGGCCAGGATTGGAGGAGGATAATAGGCAAACAAGCAAGTTGCTGCTGTTTGAAAATGTGCGACGGCCACAGGAGACGGAAGGACAGTCGACTGAAACTAGGAAGCTATCTAGATGGCTAGATGGCATTGTCAGTGGCCAAGTAGCTTGTCAAGCATGATGCACACTGAAGTAAAGAAAACAAAAAAGACTCGAGGAACCAAAGCAGAAGAAGCAGCCAAAGAAGAAGAGGCGCACATATCCTGCTTGCTGCGATAACGAGCGAATTAATTGCCGATCATTACACACTTTGCATGCATTTGCATACTAAGCACCCTGCTCAAAATGATGGTACGGCACTGCACTGGTAAGGTGCACTCGGTTCGGATGGGTAACATTAGGCGGGAAGCAATTACTTGACAATTAGAGGACAAATTAAAAGTGTCCGGAGAGAAAAAAAGTTTTGTCAACTGCTACGGGTGATGGTGGTGATGATGATGGTGTGTCGGTGTTGATGGATACTGAAGTAAAGAGTAGGGGACGGCGACCTACAGAGACGAGTGACTAAATGATCACCAGTGGCAGTATCGTAACTTATACCAGAAAAACATTAGGACATTATAGCCGCCGGTGTGACACTAAAACACTGAAATAAATAAAGTGTTCCCTGATCATCAAGGCCGGGTGACATGAGGGAGATGGAGGGGACAGACTATCATCGCCGTTCTCACTTCTCTCAGCAATCTAAGCTACTCAGAAGACTGTGTTTTTATTATTTATGGCACACACACACACTTTCTTCTTCTTCTTCACACCGTTTGCATTACATTACATTAGTGGTGCGGCAATAATGTTATTGCCTAGCCACTGCCACTGTCGCCGTTGTGCAGTTGCAGCAAGGTGGAGAGTGGGTCTCTGAGTCAGTAGTCAGTCTGACTGAGTGCAATAGAAATAAATAAAAAAGGTAGTGCTGATTTGTGCGTGCGTCTGTGGTGAAGGAAGGAAGGAAGGAAAGACATGGATGACAGGCATGGATGCATGCATGCACTAGCACTAGCACACATCGCTGGAATCGCCGTCATCGATGACTGTGCTGCAGAAGCACTGGAAGACGCCGTACAACTCGTCAGGGTTACCACAACTCTTACCTTTGAGCAAGTAACGGGTAGAGTAGTATAGTTGTGGAGTTCGTGCACCATTGTCTGGACGACAACTGTTGGAGGAGAATGCGAATGGAGAAAGAGAGGTCAGGAAGCACTAGATCACAGCAGCAGACGCGGCGACGACAGCAACAACATCTGAGGTGCAGTTGAAGCTGTTGTTGGCTGGCAGCCGAAACGAGGTGCGGCTGAAGATGCAGTGGAGTGCAGCAACAGCAACATCAGCAACATCTCATTTTGTTTGAAGTGACAGTGGCGATATCTTTGCAGTACGGCGGGCGCCAACTGATCTCAAATTGGTGGTCGATAAGCGTGGCCATCGCTGCCTTTGACAAGTGACGCTGAGGAGCAGAGCAAATCGAGCCGTCGTGCATCTCAACAATGATCGGCATCACCACCAAAGCACCAGAGAGAGACCACAACCGGAGAGTTGGAAAGAGTCTCTCTTTCTCTCATTCTCCTGCACTCACTCACAAACTCACTCATCAACCGGTGGTTGGTGCGCGCTGCAGTGTGGAGAAGACTGCCAACGTTTGTTTACGGCAAAAGTTGGCGATCCTGCAGTTAG